GCCAGTTTGGCTCAGTGGTTAGAGTGTCGGCCCCACAGACTGAAGGGTTTCGAAGGCATGTACCTCAGTTGCAGGCTTGATCCCTGGCCCCTGTTGGGCACGTGCAGGAGGCAACTGATCGATGTGTCTCTCTCACATTGATTTTTTTTTTCTCTCTCTCTCTCCCTTCTACTCTCTCTGAAAAGCAATGAAAAAACGTCATTGAGTAAGGATAAAAAAGCAAAAATCCAAGAGACTGAGAAGAGCAATACCAATTTTGTGTCGCATGCTGGTTGTCAGTGCTGTAGCTGTTCCTAGAAGAGAAAGGTTAGGCAGATTAACAACAACGAAAAGATTTTATGAATTTGCGTCCACTCTCAAGGCAGCCTCTCTATAAAGGCAGCTGATGAGAGGAGGGTCTATCAAAAGGCCATGAGGGGCCAAGGCCATGTCTACAGTGGGCTCTGACTTGTCCCCAGCCCAGGGCCTGTCCCTTTGGGGTGTGCAGGGCCAAACATGGCCTGACACATGCATTGTTTCATTCTTAACATAAATTCCCACTTGTCCCTGTACCATGCCATCCTCTGGCTGGTCCCTTCTGGGTGACACTGTGCAGGCTAAACTTCGTACTAAATTTACAGGCCATGCAGGAACAGTGGGAAAGGCCTCTGAGCCCGAGAGCTTGGTTTGAGCGTGGCTAGCACTCGCTAGCTGGGTGACTGAGAATGTCACTCAGCTTCCCTGTGCCTCCATCTCTCTGACTATCCCCCTCCCTGGAGGGAATGTGCAAGCAGGAACCACACCTCTTCACTTCTGCATCCCCAGCAGGTAGCAAAGACCCTGGGATGCGGCAGGTACTCAGTAAAGGAATAATCTAGCCTACCTGCCTGACAAGTATGTGGGAGAATACAGGTGGTCTGACTTGGGATTTTTTTTCACTTGAAAATCAAAAGCAATATGCGTTCAGTAGAAATTGTACTTCAAAGTTTGAATGTTGATCACTTCCCAGGCTAGCAATTTGCAAGATGACGATATGCCTCGTAATGCTGGGCAGTGGCACAGCTCCCAGTCAACCTCACGATCACCAGGGTAAAGAACTGACACTCTACAGTGTAGCATTGAATGCATTTTCGACTTGAGATATTTTCAATTTACTATATGCTTATCAGGCGTAACCCTAGCCTAAGTCCAGGCTCAGCTGTACTTTTTTAAAATCATAAAGCAACACACAAAGAGTGGTTAATATTAACTAATATTAATGCTAATGTTAATATTAGCATGACATTGTTAGTCATACAGTTTTGATTCTGGAGGTGGGGGCATGAGTGTTCGTGGGCACACATTTGCAGACAGATTCCCAGTGCCTGTCTACGCTCAGAGCAGAGAGGAGGGACAAGGAGAGAGAAGGGGAGGAATGTTGGACGGCACAATCTGGGTAAGGGCTGTTTCTCCCCACGACAGCAGGCTGGGGTCAGAGTCCTACACTCCTTGGAGGTTGTGTCCTGCTTACCGAGGCGGGGAGCCATGGGCCTCTATCTGCCCGCAGAGGTCTGGCCCTTGACAGACAGCACGGACTGGTCAGGGAGCCAGGGGCTGCGGAGACGGAGTCTAGCTGATGCCCTTTGGCCCATTTCCAACCTTTCCTGGAGATTCGGGAAAACAAATTATTAGTCTGGAGTGTTCCTTAATGATCTAACGAGCGCAAGGCAGCCAGATTGTTGGGGTTGAGAGCCCTCACGTCAGGGTCTTGGAGGCACCTGAAATCATTAAGGTGCTTTTCCTGGCTGCGGAGGGGTTGAGACCCCTCCAGAGGTGAGTAGGGCCCAACACCTGGTGGGATGGGTGGGGGTGGAGGAGTAACTGTTAGCTCGGAAAGTTGCTAACTTTACATTCTCACCTCGGTTCATAATTTTATTTTTGTTTAAATTGGAAGGGCCCTTGGCGTCCATGCCCTCCTTTTGCCAAGAAAACTGAGGCTCAGGGAGGGGAAGAGACTTATCCAGAGCTCCCATGGGGCTCTTTCTGTCTTGAAAGCCTGGATTTCCCCCCCACCACGCACATATTTTTTTTTTTTTTTGTAACACTATTTTTTAAGGCTTAAAGCACATTCCAAGAAAAGAATCAGAACGCTGAAAAAAATAATCTGTGCTATTCATTCACTCTCACTTGGAGAAGCTGTTAGCTCTAATGACCTTTCCAAATTAATAAAATCTGTAAATGCTCAATTGTTTATTGCACACATTGAGTTACACCTCTAAATGACTGGAGGGAACTGCATGGCGAACTGGAACACTTAGCTGAAGGGCTCTGTGGCCAGCTCACTGCTGTGTTCTCTCGGCAAGGGAGCTGTGGTCAGATTCCCTGAGAAAGGGTCACCCCCGAGAGCCTTGAGCGAGGGACTGTGGCAGACAAAAAATTCAGTGACAATCCATGACCAGGGGTCCTGCTAGGGATTTTTTGGGAGAGGCGACACTTCCGGACATGAACATCAGATGAACCTAAGCAAATGTTTCGTTGAGGGCTACGACATTCAGAGAAAGCAGAAGTGGGAGGTATCTCAAAGGCTTGGTTGAAGAGGGCACTTGATGGAGATCCACTAGAAAGAGTAAGATCAGGTCAGGTGGAGGGCACAGGAAAGGGCTCTTTAGGCAGTGAGCACAGAGTGAGCAAAGGGCGAGCGTGGGTGTACCATTGCAGCCCGTGTGCCTGGGAGAGGAGACAGGCGGAGGACGTGATGAATGGCACTGTTTGGGTATTAGGAGGCCACATACTGGAGGGTGATGGTGGAGGTGGGCACAAGAGGATTCTGCGTCTCAATCCTCAGACACCTCTGCCTGAGACGATGCTGCCCAAACACCGTGCTTACAAGCCACAGGTCTCCCTGGCCCAGAGTTGTCCTCTGCAGTTTGTCCTTGAGTCCTGGCGACCGTCTCCCTCCTGAAACTTGTGAATGTTACAGACCAATTTGAGAATACAATTTGATAAATATGGACAACAGTCTTGTAGAGAAATGTTGTGTAGGTTACGCTATTATTACAGGGGCGCTTTTTAGAATTGCAGTAAAATATACATAACATAAAATTTATCATGTTAGCTATTTTTTTACATATGTTTTTATTGATTTCAGAGAGAGGAAGGAAGAGGGAGAAAGAGAGAGAGACATCAATGGTGAAAGTCACTGATGGGCTGCCTCCTGCATGCCCCCTACTGGGGATCGAGCCCTATACCCAGGCATGTGCCCTGACCAGGGATCAAACTGTGACCTCCTGGTTCATGCGGCAATGCATGACCACTGAGCAACACTGGCCAAGCCATGTTACTTATTTTTAAGTGTACGGTTTAGTGGCATTAAGTATATTCACATTGTTGCACAATCATTGCCGCCATCCATCTCTATAACTTTTTCATCCTCCCAGACTGAAACTCTGTACCCACGAGGCCCTAACTCCCCGTTCCCCACTCCCAGCCCCTGGTACCCTCTGTTTTACTTTCTGTCTCTATGACTCTGACTGCTTAGGGACCTCGTATAAGTGGAATCATACAGTATTTGTCTTTTTGTGCCTGGCTTATTTCACTTGGCATAATGCCCTCAAGATTCACCCGTGTTGTAGCATAGGTCAGAATTTCCTTCCTTTCTAAGGCTGAACAACATTATATTGTAGGCACCTACCACATTTTGTTGATCCATTCATCTGTCGATGGGCACTTGGGTTACATCCATCTCTTGCTTGCTTTGAATAATGCTGCTATGGACGTGGGTGCGCAAATACTGTTTAAGTCCATTGCAGGAGCATTTCGAGCTTTTAAAAATAAAGTGCTTTAGGCTTTCAAATGGTCAGGGCCAATGGGCTGGCCCTAGCTGCCATCAACTCCACGAGAAGCAGGTTGCCAGCTGGCCATTTCCCACGTGCAAAGGCTCTTCTGCCTTGAGCAGAGCTCTTCATTACCCTCTGCCAGGGACGCAGATTAAAGGTTGGACTCTGGCACGCGTGGCCTTTCCCCAGACCACGCCAAGCTGCTTCAGTCTGCGCGTTAGTCAGTGTCAAGGCCTCTTTGCCTTCACTTCTTATCCTGAAACGCATCAGTCATGTTGAATTTGTCCCTTGCTAAGGTAGCAAGTGTTTTGTTCTCTCACTTGGCAAGCTGTCTCTCCCACCTTCTAAAATGTATTTAGGCATGGTTGTGAAAGCCAAGGGAAATCTCTCATGCGCTGCTCCTCTCCTTGTCCTGCATCCTGCCCCTGGCCTACTCCTCCCAAAAGGAGAACTAATGGACATCCTTTCTTGAAGCATCTCTACCTCTGGGCATTAATTGCCTCTACAGATCCCAAACTCACTTAAAACACATTAAAGTGGTGACACACTCAGGCAGAAAGGCAGGAGGATTCACGGTTCAGGTTGGCATTGTCATTAACTCAAGTCTTTGGTGTCAACTGCCTCCCGCACTGAACGTCCTGCCCGGCCTCGCAGTCAACCTCCGCAATGCGTTCTCCGGCCTTTGTTGGTTTGTGTCAGCTCTTGAACAGTATTTAAATGTAGTTTGGGGCCCATGCATGCAATTACCATTGTGTTATTATTCAGAACCAGATTGTTAAGATTCAGGCAGCTGTACAAGGAGATGCCCTGTGCTGTGAGGTCCAATTTAGGAGGGCCTTCCGAGCTGGCAGCAGGGTTGCTAGGCAACCCCATGCTACAGGAGAGGAGGCCTCACTCCAGAGTGGGAAGAAGCCCAGCGCCTTCAGGGAATTGGAGGCAGTGGTCAATCTGAGACTGGCATGGCGCCGAGGAGGGGGAGGGAGGCGGAGTGGACCGAGCCCACGGCCTGGGAGGGGTGGGATCCTGTGGGAGAGCGGGCAGGGAGGGCGCCCACCCAACTAGCACACAGTGTCCCTGGGAGGGGAGAGTGCTGCCGGGAGTGAGAATGCAGAGAAAGTGCAGAAGCCCGAGGTCAGCCAGGAAACTGCCGAAGGATGCTCAGAGCAGATGCTAATATGCTTCTCCGTCCGCTTCTTCTCTTTGCAGGAAATGAGCATGTTTGCAGAGAAACCGCTCTCCTGAAATTTAAGACAAAGGCGTCGTTGCTTGTGAGTATGAATTTTGTTTTTTTAGGTCTGTGATTTGAAAATGTTCCTGGGGAGTGGGTGAGTTTCCCTCTTTGGGGAAGGGAACATGACCCTGATGGAGTCAGCTTGCAGTTCTTCTTCGGAAAGGTGCCTCTGGCTGGGTGGGGTTGGACCCAGGACTGTTAGGCTTCGAGCAGAAGGCACGTGGTTTGAACTCCGGCTCTGCCCCTAAGTGGAGAACACTCCCACTGGCTGGTGAAAGAGCACCCTCCCTTGTTGATGGGCAGGGGAGAGTAAGACTCCTCCGGGGATAAAGAAGGTGTGTTTGTGACTTTCACTCTAAAGTCACAAACACTTTGCACAATTCTAAGTTTGCTGCTGGGTTGACCCTATTTAGGACAGTGAATTATCGTATAGGCCCTCTAGCAGTGTGTTAAACTAAGAGCAGTCCTATGACCCAATCCATTCCTTAATCTGAGAATATCTGGCACTATCTGGAGCCTCTGAGAAACACAAGAGAAGCAGCAGGCCCAGGCTCTATCATAGAGCTGCTCTCAGTCCAGTGTGGGGAGAGAAGACATCTGCACATGAGACGATCAAAAACCTGTATGACAGACCCACTCTTGCTCTCATGGCACAGGCAGAAGTGCTGGTGACAAAGAGTCGTTAAGGAAGACTTCCTGGGGAAAGAGAGACTTTGAACTCGGTTGATGGAGGGGGGTAACAGGGAAGAGGCGCCAGGATGGGAATACCAGTGGCCTGCATGGAGGATGTCGTAGGCACGGGTCTGATGGGGAGCTGGTGAAGTTGGGCAGGGCCAGGTGGTAAAGGGCTTGAAATGGCTTCATAAGTGGTCCATGTGCAAAGAATCAGGATGGAATAAAGTGTCCCTCATCTATGCAAATAAAATTAAGTTTCTGCCAGTTTGTCTGTGACTCATGGTGTGAAAATGGCTGTCATGGATTTTTCACTTTCACCAATTCAAGGTTGTATCTGATATCAATATATACGCTGGATAGATTGTAGAAAATTCACTTTGGAGATCCTCCCTATATTTTAGACACACACACACACACACACACACACACGTGCAATCGCCTTCCCCAGACAGCTGCAGCCTAGGGCCGCTAGACACCCATGAGATCAATGATGGAGACACACCCTGAGTTCCAGATGGACAGTCACCGGACAGTGCTCCCAACGTCCACTTGATTGTCCCTGGAACTGCTTCTCTTACAGGGAGCTCTGTGGTACTATGCCCAGGATGAGGGGCAGCTGGGATGTCTTTGTTTCACAAAGGTTAATGAACTACTTGTTCCAAGCAACCAGAGGAATCTAGCTGGTTCTAAACGTAGCGTTACCCGTTCACAGAACGCTCGGCAGTATTGCCTCACACAAGCTTCACAGAGGCTCCGGCAGGTGTTGCCATTTTGCAGATGAGGAAACTGAGGCTCTGAGTAGTCAGACATTTTGTTCAAGTTCACTCAGTTAATAAAAGTGAACTGACGTTCACACTGACTTTCTGTTGTGCGTAACTAGATACTTGATTATGGGACAGGCCTCCTGGGTCTGCCTCTGCCTCCTGCTCTTCATCCTGGGAAAGGAGAGTCCCTGTGTGACCCACAGAGTCTGGTTGGGGAACTCTCCGCTCTGGAAGGCCAGCATTTTGCTGTGCTGCCTTTTATGGATATATAGTGTCAGCCTGGTGGTCTTTGGCTGGGCAGGAAGGTGATTATGGTTCTGCCCTTGCAGAAGGCGGCTCATGTGTGCCTCTATCACCAGGGGCAACGCTCTGGAAAGACACAGAAGGGCTCCATTTGGAGCCATTGGTGACTGAGTTAGGTTGGGTTCCCTAGAAGCGGAGCCCGAGACCAGGAGTCAGGTGTACTGGGTGTATCTAGGGAGAGGTCTTAGGGAACACATGTCAGAGAGAAGAAAGCATGATAGGGAAGGAGCAGCTGAGCGAGGATGTGCCAGGGCAAGTTTCTCCTTGGCGTGATCCGCATGAACTGTCCTGCAGTGATGTCTGTGTCAGAGGCAGGGGGCAGGCCTCACATATCCCCCCATTAGTCATCGGCACCAAGGATGGTGCTGCTGATGCAACCTCCAAGGCATTGCTTGACCTCGAGAAGGGGTCTGAGAACACCACAGGTGGAAGTAGCAGGGGAGTGGGTGCCCCAGCAGGTAAAGGGGATCCAAGTGGGGCATCTGTTGCATTGACCACCATGTCTGTGAGCATCCCTGTTGTGAAGATAGCCAAATGCAGTTTTCAACTGACCCGGCAGTAATTTTCGTTCTAGTAAGTTTGCATTTTAAAGAGTATAGGTATTAAAATAGTAATCAATGGTGTCAAAGTCTGTTTTCACTGAAACAAACGTGTGCCTTTTAACTGTAATTACACTCTTAATGGGTAATACAGTCCCATGGCTCTAAATTCAAAAATGCCAAAAGGTATACCGTGAAAAGTCTTCTCAATATTACTGGGGCTTTGTGTTACTTTCCAATGACAGTCTATGCGCCCCCCAACAAAGGTGTGGTTAAGATTTCAAAGGTTTGGTGATTCTGAAGTGGTGTAAGGGCCTCAAGAGTCAACAGTTGTGGCTATTCCAGAGGATGGAGCCGAAATGGGCCTTTTCTTTGGAGAGGGAGCAACACCCTGAGTCAGCTCTCAGTAGAATGTTCAAAATCCATAAAAACTTTACAAACATTTCCAAACTCCTTAGAATGCCTATGTAAACAACTGATATAGGAATTGCAAATTATTATTTCCTCATTACAACAAATCACATATAAAGAGTTTGAGATGCTGTATACAGCCCTTGAAATTTCCAAACTTTGAAATAATTTAAAACTTCACTAGATTCATTTTTAATCCAAAGCGCTGCAGTCCTACTGCATTTATCATATAACATCATCTGCATATTTCTCAATGCCTTACCGAAATGTCTACTGTTCCCAAAGAGTGTTCAGATGTCCTGCAGTGTCAGACTTTGTGAATCTCACTGTGGTTTCCTTAGAAGTGACTGGACTGTAATTTGGAGGTGCTTTCTCATCACAGGAGCGGGCAGTGATGGAATGGGCTTCTTTATTGGCAAATTCTCTGTCGTAGGTGGCGTCACAAGAGCGGCTGGGTCACCTGCCAGCAGTCGCACAGGAAATCTACCCCACATGACAGGCAGGTTTAGGAGGCTTCTGAGGTCCTATCACAGCTAAGAGTCCATCTGTGTAGCTTGTTGTCATTATTGCCTTTATAACCATTTACCCCCCTTGAAATCCAGACTACCGGGCTCACCCTGTATGCCTTTCTTCCAAATTTTGGTTTCACAAGTTTTGTCTAATGTCTGTAAATGCCCATGTGGAATTTGGGACCATGTGGGACCACATAGGCCTGGCATGTATGTTTTTCTCTTGCAAGCAAGCTCCCTGCTTCCAGTTCTCCTTCATGTTGACTCTCAGGTTGCAAGAAAATCCTCTAACTTGGGCATGACCTGTTCAAGCCCCAAGACAGATGTTGGTGGCACCCCAACAAGGCAATGAAAAAAAAAACTCATTTCCTCCCAAGAAATAGAATCATTATCTTGATTGAAATAATATCTTTCCTCAACCCACAACCAGATAAAACATCAAATTGCTGGAGTTTCCTTATCGCCGCCCAGAGTGTGCAGGACACAGAGTAATGGCCTGTCAGCTGCCTCTGGTGGGGTGGGTTTTGTAAGGTGGAGCCACAGCGCGTGGCCTGATTTGGATTACACGATGCCTGGTGCATTGTAAAACAATTCCATTCATCACAAATATTATAGTAGAAGGGAAAGTTAGTATAGAGTTTAGAGCAATGTAAGTAATAAATGCGACCGTTATTGGTATGGCGATTGCTTTTAATTAGCATCTCACGTATGGGCAATTGCTGGAGTGATTAAAATCTGTAGATGTTCAAATATTTTCAGTAAGTGAGTGTTCTGGAACCCTGTGCCCACTGGGCCTGAGCCTGCCAGGACTGCAGTCAGAGTAAGGGGGCGACTGGGCTTGAGAAGGCAGACCAGGTCCTACTTTGGGATGGAGAACAGGACAGCCAGAGGCCAGCAAACCAACACCTTGGGGGAGGAAACAAAGGGTGGTGGGTAGGGACGCAGGGAGTCTGGATTCCAGCCCAGACCCACCATTTCTACCATGTAGCTTTGGGCTTTCGGGACCCAGTCTCCTCATTGTTCAGAGGGGGTAGCACAGGGATGTTAGGAGAAGGAGGTGAGGCACTGTTTGTGCGAAGTCTAGGATACTGGCTGTAACCTCCATCCCGCTGTGCCCGATCCACTGTGAGGGGAGGCTCTGCTTCATTCCGGGAATTTTTTTAGTGCTCCCTCTCTGACGGGCATGTTCAACCATTTTACATGTATTAATTCACTTAATCCTCACAACAATGCTACACATTACAAACTTGTATTATCTGCCTTTCATAAGTGAGAAGGAACAGGGAAGTTAAGTAACTTGCCCAAGGTCACACAGCCAGTAAATGGTGGAGCTAGGATTTGAAGCCAAGCAGTCTGGTTGGAGCTGTTGAAAACAAAATCGACTGCAAAAAGACTAAATAATATAGTTCAAACACTGAGCTTAGACCAGACCTTCAACCATAATCCTGTAAGAGGCAGAAACATTAATAAGAACATCTTTGTAATGTTTCAGGTGGCATCGAGGTGGTTCCTGCGGTAGAGGTGGAGGGTTGAATAATATTCTAGCCAAGGTTCCTGACCTTGGGCACCTGGAGGCTCAGACCCCCCTTCCCATGGCATCCTACAAAGCTGCCCCCAGCCAGATACACACACACTGGAGAGCAGCTAGGTTTGCAGGACTCGCCCTCATTTACTTGGCCCCTACCCGGCCCACCCTCACCTTCTGCAGAATCCTCCTGGGCGCTTGGGGCTCTACTGTCTGCGAAGGCTTCACCAGAAAAGGAAGCCATCCCCTTGCACCCCGCCCCATGCCCGCTTCCCTCCCCTTTTCCCCCAGGCATCCCCTAAGTGAAATGA